CTCTTTCTCTCTCTCTCCCTCTCTTTTTTGATTTCCATCAATGTAAATCTTTATACTTTCGGTAAAAAAATTCTCGAAAGTTTTGAATAATTCGAGTAATATTCCTAAAAGAGTATACTTTAATAAACGTTATTTCTCTAACGATGAAGTTTTCTTAGAATATGATCGAATTAAAATGTCAAGATATGCTGCTATGGCTATTATTCTTTCCCTTTCTCTTTCTCTCCCGTTTCACTCTTAATTTAGTTCGGTGTCTAATAGAAGAAGAAGGACACACCCATTAAGTATAACACTAGACACTATGAAATCCGAGGACACTGTTGAAGGTTTCCTCGTATATTATCTCACGAGAAAGAGAGGAGGAGTCGTGTAAGTAATCCAACGTAAATCCAAAACTCTCGAGTTAGGGCTTTCCTACCCTTGAATTTTTCAACGAGACAAAAGTTCGCGAACTTGCGAGTCCGTCGCTTCTCAAAATCTCGACTATTTTCAACGAGTTAAAGAAGTGGACGTTTTCGCGTTTTTCTCTCGTACGAACGAGAAAAAATTGGAGAAATTTATTAGACATTTAGGAGGTCCCTGTTAAATAGGAATCAAACAAAAATAGTATCTTACAATAATTTTTCGTTCATGTCGAATCGTTTACGCACATCAATATTCGTGAATTTTATTTCAATCTATAATATAATGGTATATCGAGATCCAAAATTTATTCCAAATGTTTTACAGTTAACTGTATCAATATTATTTGAAATATTCTTGATCTTTATCGGTGCAAAAATAATTACATGCAATCGTAATTAATATCACATAAAAAGAAAATATAACAATTTGCAATATATAATATAAGGGAATTCAAAAATAATAAAATGCGTTAGAATTTAACAGAAATCAATGAATAAAAGAAAATTATTCTATAATAATATAACTTTTATTGACTTATTTTATGTATATCTGTAAGTTTAAATTACAACTAGTTTAACTATCATAGTATCATCCATCAACGAGTCAATTATGCGTGAAAAGACTTTTAGAAAAGTACACTTTTCCGATCGGGAAATGAAAAATAAAGAAGAAAAGGTTCTTTTCTTGCTGAAGACTTTTTGTAGAAAAACTGTGGGATAAGAATCGTCATTTTCCTTGGGTACCGAACAGGAACTAAAATAGCATGTATAAGGTAATTTAATTTTATATTCTAACACGACGAGACGACACGACAAGCTCGTATAATTAATTATCATACTATTCAACTTTCGTCTACACGATGTTTTCTCTCTCTTTCTCTCTTTCTTTCTCCTTTTACTTTTTGTGCTACGATCGTTCTCTTCCTTTTCTTTTCTTTTTTTTTATCTTCTCGTACGATGAAAGGTAAGCTCCAACGAACGCGAACTTTCTTTCTACGAAGGAAAGCACATAGCGAGGACGAGGATGAGAAGAGAAGAGAAGAGAAAGGAAACACGTCTTTAGAAAAGGGACACCTCGTAATTTTCCTCTCTTATTTCCTCTTCTATTTCTCGAAAACTTGTGTCTTTTTGGGGTATCAACCAACGAGGATGAAGAGGATAATGTCGGAAACTCCTAACGTGCGTGTACGTTGCTGCTTCTGTATCTACGTTGGTGAATTTCTATAAAAGGATGTGTTCGAATGACGAGGAAAAAACACCTGAACGTTGTGACAAATCGAGATAGAATTTATTCTCTCACGTAATAAATTGAAAAATTCCATTTTTCTATTACGTTTTACGTTTCTACGAAAAGATAAAGGACAAGATTTGCGAACTATTCAACCGACTTTTAAAAGAATAAAACAAATTAAAATACAAATGCGATATCGTATTCTTGACTAATCAACTCGTGGTTCATTATCAATTGAATCAAAATTCACAGAGGTTTATCTAACTTCAAATAATTGGGTGTCTGGTAATTGGGTGATTTTAACAAAAAGAAATAAACGATATTATTGAGATACCGTTGAACAATTATAACAATTTATTTCTTCAAATCTTAATATTTCTTTTGGCAATAGCAATAAAAAAGGAGTTCCTTCATTGATAAGAATTTTTACCTTAAAGGATATTTGAAAAATCGTTAGAAGTCCTTTATCTTGGTCGTCAAGTTGAATGACACATCTGGTCCAATGTCACTCCGATTCGGTACCATACACTTGGTTTCCCGTTGATACCACCGACTTATTCGATATATCGTTTCTTTAGCCGTTACCACCTATCTCCTCCTTTCCCCCTACTACTCACCAACTTTTTCTCTTTTCCTCTCAAAGGAAAATTCAATCTCGCGATTTTCCCGTGGGAAGGTAAGGAACGACGTTGCAACTTGAAACGCGATACCTTCGAGTGTATATATAAAACAGAATGGAGGAAAAACGATAACGAGTGAGTGAGAAAAAGAGAGAAAGAGAGAGAGAGAGAGAGAAAATCTGTGTGTGTGTGTGTGTGTGTTTTTATGCGCTTGCGCGTGTCAGTGAGAAAAAGAGAATAAATATTTATTTCTATTGACGAAAAATAAAATAGAAAAAAGAAACAAATTCAACTAAAGAATCGAGAAAATTGTTGTTGATTCTTTACAAATGGTCAAATTTATTAGCTACCTTTTCAACTTCGATATTCAAGTACAGATGCTATCCAAATAACGAAGGCATATGTATATGGGCAGCAATTCGTATGGGGGAATATGTAATTCGTAATTTAAGATTCGACGATCGAACACGAAGTAGAATATTCTATAGATAAACATTTCGTTTGTAAGGGGGTTTAGTTTTTACTCCCACTCCCGTTCCTTCTCCTCCTCCTCCTCCTCCTTCTTCTATACAAGTTGAAACGAAATTCAACTTTCCCTTGCAAATAGATTTTCCAGCAAGAACAAGATCCCGAGTTTCTTGTAAATTGAATACACTGCTTATACTCTTTACGAAAGAAATGAAAGAGTGGCAGGGGGKGAGTGAGAGAGTGAGGGAGGGAGGGAAGGGCTCTGTTCATATATCGTTCGACAGTTTCATGAATAAAAAAGAATTGTGATCAGTGTCGTGTAAAACGAAATTTTCTGTCTCTCTTTCTTTTTCAAAGTTGTATTAGATCGAATTCTTTTTTTTTTTGTCTTTCTCTATTCATTTATCCGCAATTCGATTCTAATTGACAATTATTTCGATGCAAACGTTCGATAAATTCGTAAGCATAGAATTTCAATCGCATTTAAATTAAAACGAACGATAGAGATAGAGATAGAGAGAGAGAGAGAAAGATAAATCTACGTTTATCGAATGATCCTTCTCGAGGTGTTTCGTTTCCCAATAAATGGAATCGCAGGAAGTTGCAATAAATTGCAATTAGGAAAGCGGCCTGTCCTCGAGTATGGATAAACTACGAGTCGAAAAAAATCAAGCGAAAGAGGAATGGTTCAATTGAGAATGGAGATCATTCTTGAAATATTTATTAAGAAAAATATTTGTTGTCTCTGTAAGTATAAATATTATGCACAAATCAAATTATAAAAGGAAACATTTGAAAATTGCAAGGTATGATTTATGAAAAAAGAAACAATTGTAAATTCGTATTCTAATTTTGAAAAAAAAAAAAAAACAAAAAGAAACAGAAATTAAACATTAATTGTCAATAATTTACCGAATTTAACTTATGTAACAACATGGACATGAAAGGACATCATTTTAACGCGAGTAACGCACGTTTCGCGAGAGAACAAAATGTAAAAGTCTTAGGAAATGAATGAAATTTGATCAACCCCCGTTTGATTCGTCTGTAATATACGACAAAAAAGAAAAGAAGCCGCTTGCTTGTTTCAACGAAAGCGTTAAATCGAATCATAAAAAGTTTGATGGTCTCACGAGAGGTTAGTATTCGCGGAACGATTTCGTCGCGCGAGTTTTCCTCACTTGGGGGGAAAATAGCACGAGCACTTTCCATTTGCTTTAAAGGAAGCGAAGCGTGTTGTTGTTTAACCTTTTTATTTTTTTTTCTTTTTTTCTTTTTTCTTACACGCTTGAAAGAAATCATTCTCCTTTCACCTCTAGGACTTATAAGTATACATAAAAGTCGACTCTTTTTATTTGAGTAAAAAACTTATTTTCTTTTCGTTAATTATTTTAATATAATTAAAATAAATCTGTTATTATATTAATTAACGTTAAATATCTATTATAAAATAAAATCGACGCGAGAAAAGATTTATTATAAATTATTAAAAGAGAAAATATGTGTATATATATATATCAAGAAAATTAACCAAGAGCATTTATAATATTTTCAGTATTATTTAGTATTAAATTTATAGTATTTTTCTTATTACACGCATTATATATAATATTAGAATAGTTAAGATAAAAGAATGCGAAATACAGAAGTTGGGAATTAGTTTTAGTTAATTTAGCTCTGCATGAAAACTTTTTCGCACGGGTGGGTGGGTATTCGTCTACGAATGTAAATGCGTAAAGCACGCGAATGGCATGCTTTTCCAACATTAAATTTTAAGCCCACGGTGCTTCGAATGAATGAATGACTTGCGTTCTCCTCCTCCTACTCCTCCACCTCACTCTTTATCCTTTTCTCTCCCTTTTTCTTTGTTATGATTCAATTTCAGCATGATATGCGTTTCAAAGTAACGAAACTAATAAGAGAAACATCGATTTAACGCGATTTTTATCTAATGCCCACGGCACTCGTTGTTACAGGCACACACACCTCTGCTCGCGGCGGACACGAGACACGTGAGTATCAAAGCTTTTGAAAAGAAATTTCCAATCCCGTTTTACGAATTTAAATGGAACATTTTTAACCATCATTTTTTTCTTCTTTTTTTCCTTTTTTTCCTCCCCCCGAGCGGGAATGGACAAGATTTTTCTAAGTTTTTATTTGTTATTTATAATATATACAATTTGTATATCGAAATAGCGAGGATTTATTCGTCGACGAGCAGGATTAATAGCTCGTTCGATAGTCTTGAAACATTTATATCGTTAATTAGATAATTAGTCGCGATACTAATCGTTGGTCCGTATGGAGTCGTTATGTAAATGTCTGACTAAATTTTGCCCATTTGCCGAATCACGTCACATTCTCTATTTCTCTATTACCTCTCTTTTACCGTATACAACATTCTATTCTGAATAATTAGTTAACGCACACTTTCATCTTGGTTACTAATTTCACGAACAATTAAATTAATCGTTAAATTATATATTTTTGAAAAATAACACAGAAATATTATTAGAAATTATTTCATCGACGTAGAAATTAATTTCACATTCGATTGATTTTAATTTAATATTATAATTATTATTATTGCAAATGCGTTACTATCCTTTTACGTATGTGACGCAGTGTGCGTCCGATGTTTGACGGGTTTAGAAATAATGTTAATTTATGAATCGCGAGATAAATGTTATTTAGAATATATCTCATCCATCTACATATGTTCACATATTATATTGTATTTGCATATTTATGTCTACTCTACATCCATATGTATCGATAATACTTAATAAGCTTGTCGTTATCATATTATCTACTATATTGTGGTTTTTGTGGCATAGTGGGTTACGCTTTACCGTCCATTATCGATCCGTGATTTTATGATAATCATCGTGATACGCATTTTCTAACGACAACACAAAAAAAACATTCAAATAATAATTCACCTTAGTTTACATTTTTTTTTTCTTGTCTTTTTCTTTTTAATTCGCGATATTATTAAACGAACGAGAAAAATAAATCCAATGAGTTGTCTTTGTTTTTTCGATTTGTTTTTAAATCTTATTAAGGGAAACTCGAGAAATCGATTTGCCGAATTAGAAGGCAAAAGTTTCTTCTTCTTAAGCAGTTAAATGTCAACCAATCTCTGATATCGTTCGCCGTCGTCGTCGTCGTCGTCGCCATTGCTGCTTAAACGGCCGATTGGCAAAGTTCGGGCTGATTAATCTCGAGTTAAATTAGATAGCGTGCGTCTCTCTAAAACGGAAGTCAGTGCGAATGAAGGGAGAAGGAAAGGGTAAAACAATTTGTCACGCACATATACACAGAGACAACACACATTTTACATTATATTAACCACTTCCTGCGATCTCCCGACGATTCTCTTCTTAACAAATGAATCGTGTCGTATTATTATTATTAATATAATTTCTTTTTAAATGATAAACGTATCAATGACAAATATTTTTATATATGTTATATGAAAAAAAAACAAAAAAATAAAATATAAATATTAATTTTTTACTTTTTTTTTTGCAATATTTGTGAATAATATAAATTGCATCATAAATATTTCTGCGCGCATCTCGACTAAATATGATAATATAAAGTAATGAAAAATTATAATTTAATAAAGTACGTTGTCAGTAAATTCGACGCAACCTAGTTTCCATTATAAATATTGTTCCATTATAAATATTGTTCCATTTATTTGAAAAATTGATCAAATAAATAGAAGTGTATGACTATCGAAGTGCATGAAGATAAAATTTTATTTAAAACGACAACGAGAAGAGAGTGAACATACATACATGTAAAAAGAGTAAGAGTGAGATTGAATTCACAATCGATCGAAATTATAGAAGGTTCTAATTTAATGTGGTGTAGTATGTGTGTGTAAAAAGATGAGTGGGGATGTGGCATACTTTGAAAATCTACGACACATATACTTTAAATGAATAATAATTAATCGAAAGAAATGTTTATTGTAATTTAGAAGCACAGAGTACAAGCTCGGCTTACCGTTTTCTTTGAAATCCATCGTTAGACTGGCTCGTTGTTATTTATGAAAGTCAATTGAAATACTTTTATTGATTGTTGTTTGTATTACTTTCAAAAGAATAAATTTTATTTATTACGCATATCATTTTCGTTATACATACATATGTAGTCTTTCGAAAGTCATATAAACAACAATCAATAAAAGAACTTTTACAGAGGACAATGAACCAGTCTAACCGTGGATTTCGAAGAGGAAGGTACGTAGAAATTTATACTCCGTAATTTTAGATTACAATAAACGTTCCTTTCGATTAATTAACAATTATCTAAGATACGTCGAACATTCTAATGTACTTTACTTATATTTTAAGTTGCTTAAATTAAAATAGATTTGTTTTAACGTTCCTTGCCAGTGATTAATTTGAGTTGAAATTTTTTTCAACTTAATCGAAATTGTTTAATATTCCAAGTATATTATTAGATAAATGTACTTTGTATTATTTTTATTTTAATGGATATATCAATTGATTCTGTTGCTAAAATACATTTTAAATAAAAGTAAAAATAAAGGATGACCAATTGTAAGACACGAAAAATCCGAATATTATCTTTTTATATTAACATGTACGATTTTTAGTGACTATGCATTTGCAGTATATTATTTTCGTATTTACTTAATTTACTTGTTATAAATAATTCTTCCAAGGGATTTCGAGGGACACACATTTACACTGTGTGTATATGTGAATAAATTAATTATTTTCCAGATGATAATACGAGTTTCACTTTTATCGCGAGGAAAGTGTGGGGAGTTTGAGGCCACCCGCATCCTTTTTTTATTTATTTTCTTCTATTATCTTTTTATTTCTTTTTCTATTTCTCGTTTCTAATAGCAAAGCTTCAAATCCCTGAACGTCTTTGGTTTACGTCGTCTATAGTTGGAACGTCTCGTTGGCTCCTCGAAACTTTTCACAGAAATCTCACACAGCACTCGTAGGAAAAAGGAAAGGAGTTAGTCCAACACGCGCTCACGTTGGAAGATTCATAGTCGACCTGATTCGATTTGCACCGCTATTCGGAATTTTGCTAGAACGTATTTCATTCGTATCACGTACTTGCGTAGAAAGAAGGGATAAGCAGTCGTCCCGTCATTGCTTTAAAACCGAATTTAAAATAAAGCATTCGATTTATGCATATAGAAAATATACATAATGTACACACACTTATGTACAGGATTACTCGAACAATTATTGAAACGATTATAGATGAAAAAGATTTACTTTTAAAATTCGTTATTTATTCCATTCGTATTTTATGCACACACGTGTGTGCGAAATATTTTCTCTTTTTTTTGTTTTTATTATTGTTGTATTTATTATTTTCTTATTTTATATATTAAATATAGTATAAAGAAGCGTTGGAGAATAAGAAACGAAAAAGAAGAGGAAAAAAAATAGAAAAGAAATGTCGTTGGTAGGTGCGGAGAGTTAGTTCCATCATGGAGAAGATGCTTTTAAGAGCACTTTCGTTATATCCACGTAGCTGAGCTAATTTTCACGTCGACGGATTTCAAGAAGAGTCGTCGTATTTCAGGGATTAGGAAAATTATTATGCAGCTCTGGGGGTTCGCGCGCACAGAATAAGAGAGAAAGAGAGAGAGAGAGAGAGATACTCGGTGGTGATGGTGGAATCGTATATCTAACTTGGACAGAGTGTCGTTGTCGTCGTGTAAAGCATCGGTGCGTAGTCATGTATTAGTAAAAGTGGCCTCATGAAAAACCGGTTGGACGTTAGTATTATAAAGTTTGTAATGCGAAACGTTGCGGGTACGACATAATTGTAATACGATAGAATACGCTAGGATCGATTTCGTTTTAATTCGCGAACTGCCCGTGTTTTTATTTCTTTTTCTTTTTTTTCTTTTTTTATTTTATATTTTCCCTTTCCTCCCTGTCCCCTTGCCGTGTAATTTAAAAACCACGTCGTGAATTGGAAATTTGATCGCTTTAACCTTTACCCTTTTCTATTTTATATTTTTTTTTGTTTTTATTTTCATTAATGCGTAACAACGTACCTTACGCGTACGGGTTTGCGTTTTTAGTACGAGGAACGAGTCGTTTGTTCTCGTTATTACGAGAAATCGAAACATTCACGAGGCCGTCTTTAATATAATAATACGCGTAATGCAAGATTAAAGAGAGAAAGAGAAAGAGAGAGAGAGAGAGAGAAGGAAAGTTTAATGCACGTAGAAGCATTTACTCGCGATAACTCGTTAGAGACGTGTTTAATATCGACAGTGACACACACACACACACACACATACACGCAACGATGTTGTCCTTAATTAAATGTAACTACCACAGGCGACTCGTTGAAATTTCCTTGCGTGTTAGAAACACGCGGAGGAAATACACTAATATCCGTTTAAAATAGGCACAAGCAAGCTTCCCTCAGCCCCGACCTCCACACTCTCAGCCCTCTTCTCCGGTAACGTGTCGCTTTAAAGTATCCGCCAATTTTGCTCGTTCGTTCGTTCATTCGTTCATACGTTCGTTCATTCGTTCATTCGTTCGAAGTAACGAGGATTGTTGTTCGTTCCATCTTGAGATGCTTATCTTCGCGAGTAATTTCGAAATCCATTTTCCGCGGCGGGATTTAGCGTCGCTACGTTCGAAACGACGGAAATTCCAAATTCCGGACATAGCTTCTCTTTCTTATCCCTCGGGAAAACACGTCCCTATTTCACATTATACCGCTTCGTCGAAATCCTAATTCCATTAGAACTGTGAGCTACTACTAACTCCTTTGATTCTAACCTCCGCCCCCTCCTACGCCCCTCACAACCCTCCCGTCACCACCAATAACCCCCTTTTCTCTTCATACTACTCTACTCTATCCAATACTATCCTTTCCACGGGTAGAACCTCGATATCGGGCTTGTTTTACTTCGTGTTTCAACATAGTATCGACTATTATAATTTCTCTCTCGAATAATTTCCACCTAAACTAAAATCGA